TTCACTCTCCGTTGCGCGTTTCCTCCTTTCCTCCTTTACCTTTTCTTTCTCCTATTCTCTCGCTCTCTTCTCTCTCTTCTTCTCCTTCCTCTCCTCTTCCTCTCCTGCTTCTCGTCCTTCTCTCTCTCTCTTTCTCTCTTCCTTTTCTTCCGCTCTCTCCGCTCCTCCGTCTTCTCCTTGTCCGTTCCCCCTGCTCCCTCCGCTTCTCACCCTAACCTTAATCTCACTTTCTTGACGTCTCTCACTTCGCCTTACTCTCCCCCGTCCCCTCCCTTCTTACCTCCACTCTCCGCCTCTCTCACCTCTCCTTCACTCTTCTCCTCTCCTACTTTCACCTTTCTGACTTCTTCTCCTCCACCTTTCCTTCGCTGTCTGCCTCCGTTCTCTCTTACGCCTCTGCTGCTGACTTTGTCGTTCGCCTTGACACCTACACTGCCTGCCCCTCTTGTACACCTTCCGTACTCCCGAGCCCGTATTGCTTCCCCTCCTCTTCCGCTTGGATCGACTGCTCGAGCTCGAGCCCCTTCTCCTCTCCCGTCCGAGATCTTCTGTCTCCCTTCCTCCTCGCACTTTCTTACTCCTGCCGACTCGATCTCTCGAACTCTCGAACTCTCGAACTCTCCAGCCAATCTCCTTCCGCTCTCCACAGTCGATCTCTCGTACACGCGCTCGATCACTCTCTTCTCTCCACCACTCCTCTTCTCTCTCCCTGTCTGTTCCCCCTTCCCTGCTCCCCTCTCTCCTCCTTCCTCCTTGATCCCGAACTGCCGACTCATGCCGCTTCACATTTTCCACACTCGATTTCTCCTCCGCCTTCCGCTTATTCTTCTCGCCTCCATGTCCTCTTGTTCCTCTCCCGTTCCTCTCACTATCACTTCCTCCTCCTTCCTTTCACCTCGCCCTTATACCTCGTTTCCGACCCTTCTTTCACTGACCTCCTTCACCAACCTCTTTTCTCCACGCCATCCCGTTACTTTGCAGTTATTTTCTTGCAATAAAAATAAAAATATCAAATCTGCAATTGAATTGTAAAGTGTCAATAAAGAAGTTTATGCGCAATTGCAAGACCTAATACGATCTATGGAGGTTTAAAAAATATATAAAGTAACTATTAATGTAACTGTTAAATTAGTTACTAGTTATCGAAAAAATGTAACTGAGTTAAGTTACAGTTACAGATGGAGAGAAAGTAACAAAGTTAAGTTAGAGTTACCAAAACAAAGTAACTGTAACTGTAATGTACAAGTAACGAGTTACTTCCCAACCCTGTAAACATGACTACAAATTCGAGTGTGACAAAATTGGGAAACATCTTACTCTTTTTAATACATAAAAATATAATTCAGATTTTAAATTACAAAAACTTGGCGCTGCTCAACCGAATGTTAATAGGTAGTTATAACCAGACCGGTGCGGCGTAGACGGTACTGCTTCTCACGGCGCTCGGCCGCTAGCACGCGCTTGGAGTGGTGGAAATCGGCACCGCGATCCGGTCTCTGGTTATAACTACTACGTCGCGTGATATCGTTTACACTTACAAAATTTTTTTTACAATTATAGAAAATGTTTCGGTAAAATATACAATATCACCTTGTAAAATGTTTACAAACAATTACTATACAAATAACAATATTCTCCTTGGAAATATAACCGAATGTTAATAGGTAGTTATAACTACCATGTCGCGTGATATTGTTTACAATTACAATAATTTTCTAACAATTATAGAAAATGTTGCGGTAAAATATACAATATCACATTATAACATTTGTACAGTTACAAATAACAATATTCTCCTTAAAACTGAATTACATATTATATATCCTATATATACATACAAATATACGCAAACATAACAATATATATCATAACCCTATATACGCATACATAGATATAAATATACCAAAATATATAACGCGCGCACGCTAGTGAGGGAAAGAGAGAGAGAGAGAGAGAGAGAGAGAGAGAGAGAGAGAGAGAGAGAGAGAGAGCGCGCGCGCACACACACGCACACACATACACACACACACGCGCGCGCGCGCGCGCGCGTTGGAATTCATACTTGTGAAGGAGTGGGGAAAAGGAATATTGGAAGGAGGGATAGAGAGCAATTAAAATTCCATTGAACAGCGCCAAGTTTTTGTAATTTAAAATCTGAATTATATTTTT